TGAGACGGAGTTTCGCTCTGGTTACCCAGGCTGGAGTGCAATGGCGCAATCTCGGCTCACCGCAGCCTCCGCCTCCTGGGTTCAGGCAATTCTCCTGCCTCAGCCTCCTGAGTAGCTGGGATTACAGGCACGTGCCACCATGCCCAGCTGAATTTTTGTATTTTTAGTAGAGACAGGGTTTCACCATGTTGACCAGGATGGTCTCGATCTCTTGACCTCGTGATCCACCTGCCTCGGCCTCCCAAAGTGCTGGGATTACAGGCGTGAGCCACCGCGCCCGGCAAGAATAATCTTTTTAACAATGATTAACCAACTGCACAACTGCTGAACAACTACACAGCCGTATACATGAAAAAGAGGCTGGGCACGGTGGCTTACAACTATAATCCCAGCACTTTGGGAAGCTGAAACAGGAGCATCACCACTTGGACCCAGGAGTTTGAGAACAGTCTGAGCAACACAGTGAGACTGCATCTCTACAAAAAATAAAAAAAAATTAGCCAGGCGTGGTGATGCCTGCCTGTAGTTCCAGCTATTCTGGAGGCCAGGGTGGGTGGATTGCTTGAGCCTGGGAGGTTGAGGCTACAGTGATTTGTGATTATGCCATCACACTCCAGCCTGGGTAACAGAGTGAAACCCTGTCACAAAAACAAAGAGGCGGGGCACGATGGCTCACGCCTATAATTGGGAAGCCAAGGTGGGCAGATCATTTGAGCACAGGAGTTCAGGACCAGCCTGGCTAACATGGCAAAACCTCATCTCCACTAAAAATACAAAAATTAGCCAGGCATGGTGGTACACACCTGCAATCCCAGCTACTCGTGAGGCTGAGGCAGAAGAATCGCTTGAACCTGGGAGGTGGAGTTGCAGTGACCAAGATTGTGCCACTGCACTCCGGCCTGGGTGACAGAGACTCTGTCTCAAAAAGAATAAAAAATTAAAAATTTAAAAAAAAAAGGAAAAAAAACAAAAAGTCTTACAAATTCAGTATTAAGAAGACAAATAACCTAATAAAAAAGACAGGCAAAAAACTGAATAAACATTTCACCATAGAAGATACACAGGCTGCAAACAAACATAAAAAGATGCTCATCGTCATTAGTAATGATACTGAAACCACTGATCACCAGGAAACACTCCTATCTACCCACCAACAACACAGCACTAGCAAGACATGGAGCCAGCTCAACTCATATTCACTTTGGTGGGAATGTCATGTGGCATGATCTCTTTGGAAAACAATTTGGCAGTTTATTAAGAAGCTAAACACGAATGTGGCTTTCTGCTCCTGGGTATTTTACACAAGAGAATGAAGGCATATGTAAACACAGTCTTGTATGTGATATTCAGAGCAGATTTATCTGTAATAGGTCTCAATCCAATCTTTTATCCGTGTCTTATTCACAGGTGAATGGATGAACAAATTGTGGTATTTCTGTAAATACTACTCAGTGATAAAAAAAAAAAAAGGCAAACGGTGGATATCTGCAACAACACAGGTAAACCTCCAAATGATTATCACGAGAGAATACAGACAACAAGAGTACATACCGTATAAGTCTATTTATATAAAATTCTGGAGAACATGAACAGTAATCTACAGTGACAAGTCTGTGTCTGACTGGGGCTGGAGGAGGTCCGGGTTAACAGAGAGAACAAGGCAGCTTGGGGGACAGTCTACTAATTCTCTTGATTGTGGCGATGGATTCTCAGGTGTATACAGGGGTCACGACTTGGCAAATTGAACACTTTAAACAGTCAATTAAATCTCAACACATTTGTTTAAAAAAATGCAAATAAAATACCTCAACTTCAAGGTCCTGGCGCTTGGGATTGTGAATGAAGAAAGTGAAGTTTTCTTCCCACACAGGTTCATTGGTTTTGTATCGAATCTGGAAGAAACATTCAGTTATCAGCCCTGTGATATTTTCTGTGGAAAAGGGCTACTCATTTAATATATTTAGAAGCTTAGGATGAAAAATAAACAAAAAGAAGACAAAACAACAAACTAGAAGCTTAGGATGACTTTAAATTCCAAGACATGTATTTGCCAGTATGCACTATTAACTATTGATTGTGCAAGTGTTCAAAAGATAAAGAGACAGTCTGAAGCCTTTGAGTGTGTTACGAGGCCCCAACCTGTGTGTCCACTGATAAAGGCTTCAAACGTGTGGCCCGGCCTCAGTTCTGCAATTACGTTTGCACCAACGTGATAGTTCCTCCAAATTGAGGAGGGTGCTGCACATGGGAACGTCTCTTAAACTGTTAACACTTCCAAGTGAGTGATGGCCTATAGCTTGGGGTAATTTCTAAAACATTCCTTCTCCTGTAAGGAAAGTAGAACATGTGACAGCGATCGCAATACTCTCTTTTCAAGTCTTGATTCTAACTGTACTGGTTGAGTTTTAAGCACTGTTGGTTATCTTTCAAGTATTTATAGAGCACTCAAGACAAACTTAGGATTTGTTCCCATGTGTCTACTCATAAAACCAAGCAACAGCATATTCATCTATTATTTTCTAATGTTATTTTTGTTTTGTTTTTTGAGACGGAGACTTGCTCTGTTACCCAGGCTGGAGTGCAGTGGTGCAATCTCAGCTCACTGCAACCTCTGCCTCTGAGTTCAAGTGATTCTCCTGCCTCGGCCTCCCAAGTAGCTGGGATTACAGGTGCCTGCCACCATGCCTGGTTAATTTTTGTATTTTTAGTAGAGACGGGGTTTCACCACATTGACCAGACTGGTCTTGAATTCCTGACCCCAAATGATCCAACCACCTCAGCCTCCCAAGGTGCTGGGATTACAGGCGTGAGCCACCACAACCAGCCGCTAAAGTTATTTTTAAAAATGAACAGTATATTTCTTACTAAATCAAGTAGCTGGTTATCTATCAAATGACTGATTTAAGAAAAAAAGAAAAGGTCTGAAAAGCCATTATCTCAACACGCACGCTATCACACAAGTGAATGCACTTTGCAACCTGGAGCCCCACATGAGATGGCAACAGACAGAGCCCACAGGAGAGGCACCGAGGCTGAGTGCGGAGGCCGGCCAGCACCTTACCTTGCTTTCCTGGGCCTTGTGCCCAACTGACATCTGGACAAGAGGATTTGGGTTGCTGCTTATTTTCTTCCCCGACTACCCAAAACAAACAGAAAACAGACAGAATAAATAAACACATTTTGAAACGGGTCTTAACCAAAACCAAAATTATTGGCTTATATTAGTAGTTATTTTTATTTATCTCTGATACTTCTGGGAACATCTGGGAACAATGTAATAGGAAAGCATATGCTACCCACATCCCAAACCATAACTACATCTGCCATGAAATAAATTAAGAAAAAGGTTCATTTGCACACAAATTTTAAAGGTTAGGGTCTTGTATTTTTAAAGCAAACTACTTTGGAAAACTGAATTTTCTAAAAATCCTTAATGTTAATCACAGTTTTTGAAAGTTCCTTTATTTATGAAGATGATAAAAATGAATAAAGTACAATTAATGGAAACAAAAAACCACAAGAAAGGACAAATGTAAAAGAATTTAAAATTCAGATTATTTCTCTGGTTGGAATAAAAATAGTAGAGTGTCAGATATATAGTTTTACAATCTTAGTGTCTTCTGTTTGAGCATTTTTAAGCTTTCAGATATCAAATCTTGCTTACCAGCTGCTAAATAATTTTGACTGGAAGAATAAACATCAGTTTGGAATCACAATAAATTAAGCAGATCTAAATATGAAGAAAAATTCAGGAAGAGCAAAAACGGTCAGAAATATACATTAGCACAGATAGTGGAGAGAAGAGTTAAACAGCGCATACATGTGACATGAGGTTTATTTATAACTTAGCCCCACAAGAAGATGCAGTTAAATATCTGTGTTAGTGGAATTAATTAGAAGGTCACAAAAACATTTTTGAGTTCAATAATTTTAGAGTGAAGCCTCAACACTACAGCAATGACACAAATAGGTGTCAAAATCCTATCACTGGAAAAAAAAATTACTAGCTCAAACCTACTGCGATAATCTATTTTCTGGTTCATCTTTTTGATGTGAATGAATTCTGCAAAATAAAATAAATACTGTTGAAAAAGTTTGCAAGGCTACAGATTACTGTGACAGAGAATACTAATTTCCTCCTAAGTTAATTTTCTCCTTTTTCCTTTAATATTAGAATTCCCAAGTTTTGGCTGAGCACAAGTCCTCTGTAAATAAAGATTTTGTTTGCAACCCTCCCTTGGAGTCAGGCCCAGCCAAGTAATTAAGTTCTGGCCTCATAGGAGGCTGTGTCCCCCTTGGGCTGGAGCCACAGGTAGCTCATGGCAGAGCCCCAGGCCAGAACTCCCTGAATTTAGAGGGAGATCAACTACTGCTACTGGTAAGTCAGTTCTATTATTAAAGATACAGAAGCCGAGCTTGCTTCTTAACTAATATAAACACTTCATCTCTGAAAAAGTAGCCACTCATTTAGATTGACTGCATCTTTATCAATTTTTTTTTTGAGACAGTTTCACTCTTGTTGCCCAGGCCGGAGTGCAGTGGCGTTATCTTGGCTCACTGCAAGATCACTGCCTCCCGGGTTCAAGTGATTCTCCTGCCTCAGCCTCCCAAGCAGCTGGGATTACATGCACCCGCCACCATGCCAGCTAATTTTTGTATTTTCAGTAGAGACAGGGTTTCACCACGTTGGCAAGGCTGGTCTGGGACTCCTGACCTCAAATGATCTGCCTGTCTCAGCCTCCCAAAGTGCTGGGATTATAGGCGTGACCCACCATGCCTGGCCCTCAATTTTAAAATATATACTTTTTTCCCAGCTTTCTAACATCCCTGAAAATAGAATGAAACTTAAATCGATGATAATATATACCTTTTTGGGGGAGGCTGGCAGTAGTGAGCGTTGTCACTGCCCTAACCAATTTATTTTGCTTATATTTTCTGTTTAGGTATACCTGTCAGTGACATGATAAAACTCCATTTATCCTAAGTCTAAAATTCTCTATGTATAAAATAAACACTGTCAAAACTTAATGACATTTAAAAATCTTTCTTAGTGGTTCATAAAATAATGGTGCATCTTAAAATGGATGTTTTCACTTTGATGAAATAAGGTTAAATTATTAAATTTTCTACCATGATGCAATATTCAAAATACATCAGTACAACTCAAAGGCACAAAGTATAATGAAAATATAAGCATATGTCAGACTGTCTTGAACTTAAACCTCAGCTCTATTATTCACTTGATTATTGAGACCTCACTATTGCCTCTATTTGTACCTCATGCATATTTACAAAATGGGCATTTTTGGAACCCAAATAAGCTAATGTAATAACATAACAATTACAATATTTATTTAATGTGTTCAATAATTCCATGAAGAAGATACTCCTTCCATTCCATAAATAACACAACAGAGTGGATTAAGTATCTTGTTGGAGGTCACATTGCTTGGTGAGTAGTTGGGCTGCAATTCAAATCCAGTCTGATTTCAGGGCCTTCAGCCTTAATGTTATGTTCTCTTGGTCAATAACCTTCAGGTAGCAAAGAAGAGTGTCGAGGTAATTCCTTTCAACATTCTGGAGGGCACAGTAATTTCCACTACTGTGCTAACTAGTACGCCACAGGAGGAAGCTCTAGTAACCCAGATCTTATTTCCCTGGCGCAGGATGAAGTGAGGGTTCGCAGACGCTACACTAAAAAGCAGACTCTGCCAGTCTCCTGCACTTTTGAAATCTAACTAATTTTGCCAGATGAAACTGGTTTAAAATGATTCCAACGTCTTTGGGATAAAATTTTCTTTAAATAATTACATTAAAAATTCCCCACCTCCCCCACCCCCAAATTTAAGCCTAAAATGTTCAAAGAAATTAGAGAAAAAAATAAAAAAACATTACGTCTTAAGAAAACGTTTACCAATTTACCAGAGAACACATGCAAATGTCCTATTTTAGGGAGTGGAGCTTAGTTTTCAATAGACCTCATTTAATGAACTTTAAAGCTTCTTAAAAGATCTATCACCCAACCCAGCAGCACCAAAAGCCATGAAGTTGCTGACTCAGAGATGACCCTAACTCAGTATATTGGAAGAGGTGATATTTAAATGTATATTCACAGTTCACAAGGCATACCTTTAAGTCATGATCTAAACATCAGTTAAGATTTTAAATAGAACTTCTATATCACAATTTTCACAAATTCAAATCCAATTAAAATAGACATATTTAAATCACCTTAGAGAGAGTTACCTAAGGTCAAGAGGAAAATAATTTATCATATTAGTACTTTATTAAATTTACCTTCAAAGTGGACTTAAATTGTTCTAACTACTAATTATTCTATAACAAAAGTAGGATCTCTTCTACTAGACAATTAATTACTATATTAATATGGGAGGTAATTTGCCAATAAACTTATGAGACAAAGTATCATCTCTTTCAATATGTTTTAATTAACTTTGTAACCTGAAGGGAAAACTATTAGTTTACCTTTAAAGCTCTCTGAACTGCAGTCTTCTTCAAGACATCGGGGTTAAATTCTAATGGGTTACTCTTTCAAGTCAGAAGAAAACGAATATGCCAAGGGTTAATAAAACATGCAATGAAGTTTATGTAAGGTTAAAGACATGACAATTTATGGGAATAAACAAAGAAAAATCTTTAAACAAAACCACCAAGAATTACACAAACAACCAAAAAGCCACCTACAAAATTCTTTATGCACAAGACTTTCTCTTAGAATGAACCTTTAATCTATAAATACCAAAAGACACCTCCTTTTCCTCTATGACTAATAATCTTTTACTACCCCCACCCTCCTGATCCTTTGTGGTTTTAAAAATATAAGAATGAGACTTTAGAAAAGAGTTCTATTTACTATTCTTTGCCTGAATAAACCCCTAAAATACCCATCATTATTAAAGGTTTTATCTGAAGTACAATCAACGGTCCACAGCTGTCCAAGTCACTTTCAAGCAAGGTCAGGTCCTGGAAAAGCCGCTGAGATATACCTTCCCACCCAACACCCAGCGTCCTTTTCAGGGGTAGGAGTCAGGCTGGCTGGATCCCTGCAGAAGGTTCTCGGGCTCTAAATATAGACCTATGATTATGGGTTTTATGTTTACTTTTATTGATTTTCCAATTCATTTGTTTCTTGCCCTCAAAAGGGCAAGGCTGAGTTATTTTGCAAGATCCTTCTAGGACTAGTATTCAAGATTAAATAATTTATCATTTTAGCTGTAATTAACTTCAAACTTGTGACAAGCTGAACTTTTTTTTTTTTTTTTTTTTTTACTAAACAGAAAATTTTATAATGATGAAAGATTAATGATTAGCCTCTCAATCTTCCATGACTGGCAGGCCGGGCAGGAGAGGAGGCAGAACATGCAGACAGGCAGGAATTCAACGTGACCTAAAGCTGCCAGTGGAGCTCTCAAAGGTCTCTGGGTGGAGCCTGGACAAGGGCATTCTTCACACAACTTCCCAGGTGCTCATATACAGTGAGGATGGGAACTCTGCTGCCCTGAAGTTCACAGACTGACATTCTTCAGATATCCTAAGAACCCTTCCTGAGGCTCACTTTTGGATAGATATGGCCTGTACCAAAGACACTTATTCTAACATGCATCAACTGAAGTAGAACAAGGAGAGGCTGCGGTGTGTGGGTAGTGGTTGCAGGAGAAGCAGTATAAGGCCTGGACAGCTGCGTGGCTCTGGGGATGAGACGTCCTAGACTATGCAAGTGCTTCTGGCAGGTGCTCCGTTGGGAGGCCTCTGGAGTTCACATGACTTGTGGCCTTGGGTTACTCACCAACAGGAGGCAGTGGTAACCACCTGTGGTCTCTTTGTTTATTATTTATTTATTTATTTTAGATAGAGTCTTGCTCTGTCACCAGGCTGCAGTGCAGTGGCATGATCTTGGCTCACTGCAACCTCCGCTTCCTGGGTTCAAGCAATTCCCCACCTCAACCTCTGGAATAGCTACAACTACAGGCATGCACCACCATGCCTGGCTAATTTTTTATATATATATTTTTAGTAGAGATGGGGTTTCACCATGTTGGCCAGGATGGTCTCAATCTCCTGGCCTCATGATCCGCCCACCTGGGCCTCCCAAAGTGCTGGGATTACAGGAGTGAGCCACTGACCAAGCCCTTTTTTTTTTTTTTTTTTTTTTTTTAATGACAGCCAAAATAACTCGCATCAGACACCTAGCATCAACAGGCCTAAGGCCCTCCACAGTGGTGACTATTATCCAGCTAGCACTGCTATGTTTAAGGCATGAGTGCAAATACTATTCACCTCAGATGAATTCCACATACAGACTTATTAATCCATAAATTTAATAAAGTGATAATAAATTTGCTTTGTCCTAGGGTGGAGTGGACAGGAGGTGCCAAGCACCCAGACTCTGGGTCCACGCTGAGTTCCAATCCCAGCTCTGCCATAACCACATGCTTGGGAATCTCTAGTCTGCGTCACCTGGGTTCTTGGTGCTGTCTGAATCTCCTTATCTGTAAAGTGATAATGAGGGTCTGGGGATTAAACATTTGGCACCCTGAGACCCCTGCCTGGCTCCTGGAACGTGCTTATTAAGTATGCTGTCATATCAGGCTGAAGATGCCAAAGCCGGCCACCGCAAGTCAGAGAAAGTCCTTCTTGTTAAAGCCTGAAATTAAAGCCCAGGATCTGATCAAAAGAAGGAGGGCAAAGTTCTAAGAGTCCACAAGATGAAGTGGTCGTTTCCAGCCTAGGAGAAATTCCTGTTGTCTTAAGATTGCAGATGAGAAATGCTGGTGGTAATGCACTTCTGGAACTGGAATTAAAGGTGATTTTAAGTGGCAGGAAGTAAGAGAGCATTGGGTTGCCAGCTGTCAAAGCCTTTGCAGTGACAGCAAAATGGTCTCAGCCTTCTGGGGAAAAAGGAGGAAGCACTGATCTGACTTCACGTTGAAAACCAATGCATGGGAAAAAAAGTTCGAATTTATTTTACAGAACATCTTAGGTGATGCATATGTTCCAATAATGAAGCACAGCAGGTGACTTTGATAATGCCACAGAAAAGCTGATTTTGGTCACCCTCCTGATCCGAGTTCAGAGATATTTCCTTTCTGCAAAAGGCAGCTGCAGAATGGGAAAAAGCAACTTGGAAAAGCTATTGGCGAAAAACTAACAATTTACACAGTGGAGCGATGTTGTCACATTTATACTAGTCTATGACGAAATTTTCTGCTAACAATTACCAGAAGCAGAAAATTATTTTCTGAAAAGTAACAGAATGTGCTGCCATTATACACCATTGACCTCACTCTGACTTTTTAAAAGGCCTTAAACATATATGAGTAGACAGTCAGAGAGATCATGGTTACCACTTATTACTGGTGTGACTCTGAACAGCTCATCTAGCCCTTCAGGGTATTAATTTTCCTCATCTGTAAGATAGAGCAAAATATTTGCTCTTCAAGTTTTGCCCCCTCCCCTCCCCCTACTTTAAAAAAATAAGAATAAACTGAGAATGCATAGGGAAATCTTTTGGAAACAGAAATGAAAACTCTACAAAAGTGCAAAGCACTATCACTACTCTACTAAGGGACAACCGGGCCATAGGAATCTCACTGACTACTGGATGAAGTATGCAAAGTGGCTTTCTAGGCCAATGACTCAGATGCTGCTGGCCCCTGTGACCCTGAAGCAAGTGAAAATGGCTCTCTATCGAAGCAGTCACCAAGAACAGCACAGGAGTCCAGGTGCCAGACATACAGACCACAGGCAACATCTAATGAGATGGGAACAAAGATGTGCTCGATTATCCACTCCAGGACATTCTTTATGTGTCTTAAAAGTAAGCGAATCACAAACTTATTTAGTTTTCTTCTCCCTTAGAAGTTCCAGGTAAACCCTGTGAGGGAAGGCAAATTTTTATTAAAAAATGGGTGAATTTCTGTCTTCTCATGACCATCCCCCAAGGGACTCAGAGCTGATTACACAGCAGGGTTTTCAAAGAAAGCCCTAGTTCTGACTCCTCTGTGTTTGGTCAGGAGGGGATTGTAGGCCAGGTGTGGTGGCTCACAACTGTAATCCCAGTACTTTGGGAGGCTGAGGCGGGCGGACTGCATGAGGTCAGGAGTTTGAGCCCAGCCTGGCCAACATGGTGAAACTCTGTTTCTAGTAAAAATACAAAAATTAGCCGGGCATGGTGACAGGTGACTATAATCCCAGCTACTTGGGAGGCTGTGCCAGGAGAATCACCTGAACCTGGGAGGCGGAGGTTGCAGTTAGCATAGACCACACCATTGCACTCCAGCCTGGGCAAAAAGAGCAAAACAACCTCACAAAAAAAAAAAAAAAAAAAAAAAGGAGTGGAGGGAAAAAGGAAGGAATAGTAGTTTTTTAAACAATTTTGAGAACGTCTACCAAAAAATTTACATCTCACATTGACATGAACCACAAGAAGATGAACTTTAATCATTATGGCTTCCTTTCTTCCTCAGGAGCTTTTTTTTAATGAGCCAGTAGCAGTTTAGGAATGTAAGGCTGTTTCTCCACTCGCCAGGGTCATTCATCCCATCATCAGATGTTCTCACCAATGTTACAACAGTGTTACGTTTCACAAAACATACACAAAATGGACACACAATAATTAAAATCATGCAAGAAAAGAAAAGCATGCGACATCAGTCCACCGCCAGCCAACTGCGTTAGAAGTTCCAGTCCACATTCTGGCAGTCTCCAAACAGACAAAGGAAGAAAGAACCCCGGAGGACTCACAAATAGTGCTCTATAGACTGAGGTGGTATTTTCACAAAACACTAGTCCCGATGCTCGCCTCTCTTTTAAGTAGCCACACCCAAAGTTTCCCTCGTAGATGCTCTTAGGGCAGTGGAGCCGGGGGAGAAAGCAGAGAACGGTGGATTGTGGTCAATGAGAGCACCAGGAGCACCACAAACAGTGCAGAGGCAGAGTCAAAGAATCCCACAGCTCGCGGGGACGCCCTTTAATCCAGTGCCCGGCGCGCTCTGCAAAGATCCTTTGCCTCTGACAGCCACAGAACATTCCATGCACAAAGTGCCCTTTTAACAGAAGATCAACACATTCTCTTTGGGTTTTTTTTTTCTTATGTGACATTATTCAAACTTCAATTTAATATGGCAAAACACACAGTTCTAAAGAGGCCTAATCCTTTGTATCTAATTCACTGATACTATTCTCTCTACCCTAAAATAGAAAGCAAATTCACTTCCATCAGGCATTATGGAAGACTTTATAACAAACATTACTGTGGCTAAAAGTGAAACATTCTGCTGTATAGAAATTCTATGGAAAAATTAAATACTTAATGAAATAACTTTTTCCAAATTGAAATTTTAACAAATAAAGTCATAGACTTTAGACTGAAAGACTGGTCAAAGGCTAAGGTAAATACTTTAAGAGAAATGTAAGAATTTAAGAAGTTAAAATCAGTCAAGAAAACTTCATTGAAATAAACAGTGCAAATATATACAATTACATACAACAAAGAGTACAATCATATCCTCCCAGTATTAAATATAAGTGATCAATCATATCTTAATTGTAGGTAACTTTAAATAAAATGCACTGATGCACAAATATTTACTTCATTTCTGGGCAAAGCTCAAGGAAATGCAGTTTTCAGAACGTGGAAGGTGCTGGAGGAAGCTAAGGCTGTGCATCTCATGAACTGCGAAGCGCAGTCTGACCGTGGCAAGGCAAGATTACGTGGGGATGAAAGGCCGTAACTTAGGTCCAGAATGTGTGTTGAGAAGTGAGTTAAACACTTCTTTGCCTTCTTGTCTATTTCCCTGGTAAACACTGACAAAGGAGGAAAAACACAGGAAGATGATTTATTTACAAATGCACTTGGGTGGATGAGTATTTACTGTGGAGGAAGAATTATGCAATCGACAACTTTGGGAGGAAAGAAACTTCTGCATCGGTGGCAACAGTCTTTCCTCCAACAAAAACAGCTGTGGACATGATGAAGTAAAAGACAGTGTCTAGTCAGCAAGTGCATGGGCACTCCAAAGAATCATGACGAAGACATGACGAAGGCCGACACCACTGCCCTCAGCAGTGGGGTTTAAGGTAGGGTGGTGGGAGGTCACACTATGCCTCACAAGACTGAATTAGTAAGATCTTCCTTCTCTGTGGTTACAGTCATTACCTATAAAACAGTATTTTACAGTTTTTCTCTCAGAATGAAATAATTCTGATACAAGCAGAAGTATATGCTTTTAGGCAGAGTGTCTTGTACTTGGCAGATCATTCTGAAACAAAGTTTCGTTTTGTTCTGTAGAAACATCCCAGGCACCCAGAGGCCGCACGCTCGCTCGTGCAGCAGCACCATTCTGCCACCTGACGTCCAGGGGATCACCAAGGCTCAGCAGCTCACGCACAGCCCTGTGATAGTCAGGATGAGTCTGGATTTTGTAATCAGAGCTGCTTCATTTTATTCCCATTTCAAATAGAGACAATTTCCATCCTAAGGCAACTAAGTTTTAATACTTAGTGATTTTCTAGAGAGTTATCTTCTCCTAACCACTAGTCATTTTCTTTTCCTATGTAGTGGATAAATCAACTAAACGTGTAAATGTAAATATATGCACTCCCAGAGCAAACACAAACTCCCCCCTCTTCGCTGCCACTCTCGCACTAGCACGTGAAAGGATGTGAAGTGAAAACACAAGACAAGAACAGGTGATGCAGAGTGCTGCAAAAGGCAGTGGTTATGAGCAAGAGCAGCTGCTAGGAAGTAAGCACCCAAATGTGTTACCACTGTGTTACCTACCGGAAGGTTCCTTGCTGAATCCAAGTACAAGATCAGCAATGCAGAAGAAAGACCATCGTTGGCTTGGTCTTTGTCAGCTCTGATGTCAGTTAGCACCTAAAGGGAAAGGAAAAAAGCCTTAGCAGCCATGTTTCCATAGGACTGGAGATTATTTCTGATTATAGAATATTGATTACATTAAAAATAAGAAATGTGAGAAACCATCCAATCCATGCAATAGATATAGAACTAAAACAATAACTAACTTTTAAATAACAAGACTATTATTCCATATAAATCAATTAAATTAAGCACTCAGGTGATTTCTGGCTCTACAAATCCTTGTACTATAACAAGCACAAAACTGAAGATCTCATAAAACAGGTGTGAATGACCTATAAAATTTCATTAAAAAATTCCATTATCTTAAATTCCATTATCTTTAATTTATCCCTGATGCTACTGTAGTGAATTATTACACAATAATGAAAATTACTGTTATAATTCTTAAAAAAATAAAGTAGTAACACAACTTAAAGAGACCAACGTCCGTTAATGACGCACAGTTGGTTAAGCAGTTTTCAACAGAAAACACTTCACAGCACCTTATCGAGGTTCGACGCATTTGGCATTAGCGTGAGCCACTCCAGTCTCAAGTGCAGCTTCCCCTTGGGAACCTCGTCCAGAGTGAACCACTGAAGAGAAAATGCTCAAGTTCAGCAAAAGTTCTTCTGAATCAAAAATCCAGATTCAACCCAGTCTCTACAAATGCTACATGCTGTTCACTAACTGTGAGGCATCAACAGTTCTCAGTGACATGAAGACTGAGCCTCACCATATCCAGCTCCACGCTCTGAGGATGCCTGTGACCTCACGTTTGGAGACAATGACAGTGGCAGGGGTGAGCAGACCATTCTAAGTGCTTTACATGCACCAAGCCCTCGACCCCACAGGAAACCCTAAGCAAGTATTATCCCTACTTTACACATAAGAACTCAAATGTTTTCTAACAATACCTACAGACAGAAAAGTCTTCTATGAACGGACTTTTTTTTGAGATGGAGGTCTTGCTATGTTGCCCAGGCTGGGCTCAACTGATCCTCCTGCCTCAACCTCCCCAGCAGCTAGAACCATAGGTGTGGGCAAGCATGCCCCACCAAATGGCCTTTAATGGAGTGTACAGGACAAGAGATAATACAATAATGATTCCAAACACTGAATTTCAGTATCAAGTAATCTGTTTGTTCGAATTCATCACTATATATTAATTAATAAAATAGTATACAGTTGTATCAGCTTAAAAGCCACAAAATAATTAATCAAAGATGCTCCTGAAATGCTAAGTGACAGAAGTCATGAGCAGGACTATCCACTCAGTGCCTGGGACCCCCAAGACAAGGAGATATCACGGCCAATGAATGCTGGACGCTCAAGGGAGGGAAACGTGTGATTATGAAAGCAGCAGAATTCAACGCTTTTGTTTAATTTTGCTTCATTTATCTAAATCTTTCCCATCTTTGAGAGGCTACCACAAACGTTTCCTTTTTGATACTTTCTATTCTGATAGCAACCAAAGGTGGAAGTTGAGTCTCCTTGCCATGAATTTCCACCATCTCTACAGGCATCTCTCCCATGAGACACCTCACTGACCACACTGTACCTTCTCCACTATTCCCTCCAACCATCTGAAAATCTCCATTGCTAGGGGGAGTCTCGCACAGGCTGCCCTAACTCCTGCAGGGGATCACATGTTTGTCTGCAATAAAGTCAGTTTATGCTTCGTATCAGTAAGAATTCCAAGCATATGGTAGGTACTCAACACACACCTGATTGGACTCTTAAATTTATTTCTTTTCATTTGCTATTTCTAAAAGGTCTAAATTCTTAGTGTTTGTGAAGAAAATGCTGCTCATGTCATACTAATTAGCATTCCTACACTGTGTGATGCTGAAGTGGTGGTTCATGGCTTCTCCAGCACAGGGCAGGGACTTAGTCAACAATTGTAAATAGACCAACACTCCAGGGAAACTTACTTCATCTAAAAGGCGCTCCTTTTCAACTTCAATAAGATCAATCATAAGACTATAAAAATAATAATACAACAACTTTAGAACATAGAAACACATTTCTTCCTGAAACCTTAAGCATTTATTTGTCTATGAGCAAGCACTCCAAAAATGCAACAAAACGCTAGTAATTTATCAAGGAACAGACTATTCTTGCACAAGTTTCCTCCAGCTCACCCCCAGTGTCAGGAGAGTAAAGGAGAGTGAGGTGGAGTTTCTGTGAGCTCAGAATACTGAGTCTGGCCCAGCTGAGGTTAGAGCTGTAAAAAAACAAAACAATTCATTTTTCCTACAGTGTTATACGCATCATAAAACGTTTAAAAGCATCTCGACCCTCTTACTTTATACGTCCTCTTGGTGGGGCTGCACGTTGCTGTGGACTCCATCACTCACACAGTGAATGCTAATCTCACCTTCTCTGGTCCTTGCTCCCGGGCTCTAGACCTGTGCTGCCTCAAGCCTAATGGAAGCCCTCACTTGGCAAGTCTGAGAAGACGCCCGTTCCAGTTCCCTAAACCTCCTCTACTTCTAAGACTGGCACCATCCCCAGACACCAGACAGACTAGAGGGGGGATGATTATACTCCCACTTTTTCTTGTAGCCTCTTCTGCCCAACAGTGTATGTCTACACCACCTTCTCTTGGTCCCGGTCTAGGACACACTCTCCTATTTGGTCTGCCAGTCTCTAAGCTCAGCCCCTGACAACCCAATCCACACACCAATTTTTCTAGAATGCGCAGCTGATCTATCACCGTCCAGCTTAAAATCTCTCAATTGTTCCTAGTTGTCCTAGGAAATCTTACAAAACTCTGAAGTCAGGCCACAAAATGCAAGGCCATTCTTGATGAGGTATGAACCTCTCCAACGTATTCAATCTCTACATCCTTTTTGCCACAATAAATTCAATCAAATAACTTAATTAGGTTAAATATATTAGAAATAACTGACATCATTAATAAATGGTGGTCAAACAATAACCTTTTTAAAAGCTTATTTTTAAAGCTATACTAGTTGTTCAATTGAAGTGAACAAATCAATATTTATTTTCCCAATGTAAATTACTATATCCTGACAAAAATTAATCCAGCAACTCAAAAAACTTAAAAAACCCATTGCTGCAATCTGGAATAGAAGTGTCCACTAGAACTCAGTACAGGGACAGGTTCTGCATGTAGCTATTAAGCCTTGTAAACAAAGAGAGTGCCACTCAGAAAGAGTTCTTAATTTAACTTTAATTAAGGCTAGTGGCTGCAGTAATGGTCAGTACAGATCTAGAAGATTCTCTTCTCTTAAATGTGAAACATAGGAATAAAAATGTTTTAAGAAATCTAAGGTGAAACAATTGTTATATCTAAGAACCACAAAAATATTTTAAAACATATTTTTGATTATTAAAAAAAAAAAACAAAAAAACAAGACTGCCCCTAGGCCCTCCTCTAATAACCACCAAGGGTTTTGTTTACCTTCCTAGAAAGTCATCCTTGTCTGGGTCTTCATCAAAGAGCTCAATCTCTAATTCTTGTCCAGGATGTTCATACACTAAAGCCTAAAACATTAATGGTTAGTAGTTAGTTGCATTTTTACTAATACAGTCACACACTGAGTATGATGACTGTAGTAAATATGACCACGTACTTTTCTCTGGTGGTAAATCCTATTTATTTATTTAGAGATAAGAGTCTCACTCTGTCACCCAGGCTGGAGTGCAGTGGTGTAATCTCAGCTCACTGCAACCTCTGCCTCCTGGGTTCAAGCAATTCTCCTGCCTCAGCCTCCCAAGTAGCTGGGATTACAGGCGTGCACCACCACGCCTGGGTAATTTTGGTATTTTTAGTAGAGATGGGGTTTCACCATATTGGCCAGGCTGGCCTCAAACTCCTGAACTTAAGTGATGCACCCACCTTGGCCTCCCAAAGTGCTGGGATTACAGGCACGAGCCATCATGCCCGGCCGGTAAATCCTTTTTTAAAGGACTTATTTTTTTACTGTTGAATCACACATACCTCTTGATGACAGGAGGTCAATGAAACACCTGCCACACAGTAACAGTCTAGGGATCCTGGATTGCGTCCCAATGGGTCAAGTTCAATCACTCCAAAACAAAGTCATAGGACGTCACCCACAAGCTTGGTGCAAGGCAAGAGCCGGACCCAAGCTCCATGACACATCCCTCTAGTCCTGAGTGTCTCCACTCGGATGCTATCTTGGAACAACCGCAAGTTGCTGCTTAGCACCACTCAGAGTAAGAAACTGGCAAGAGACCAGACTGACAGAGGAGTAGGGGAGAAGAAACTGGTGGAACAAATCACAATATTATGGCCGCACTGTAGGGCAATTCTAGAAAGACAGTTCAGCCCTCAAAAAGACACACCTCTTCATCCAGGAATTTCACTTTAAAGAGCTTTATCTGGGGAAAATTTGGGTGAGTAAAGAGAGACACTCACATACTTGTACAGCAGTTTGTAATGCTGACCTGAATAGCTTAGGCCTCTCTGAGTAAACAGATGAAGGTGTCTTTTCAGTGGAGTGGTTATTAAAAACCATGTGGATCTCTATTCTTTGACATGTGAAGATGTCCTGACTTTTTAATTTTAATTTATTTATTTATCAGCAACTGTGTCTGCAAAAGATGTCCTGATTAATTTAACAAAAGGCTTTCAAGGAGGTATATAACTAACCTCCTTTTTGCATTTACTGCATTAATAACCTCATGTAACATTTTAAACTTAGAAAGACAAGCAACTCACATTATGAAAAATATTTTGCTGATCATTTAGTATAATAGCATTATGCAATTAAGGTTTAAAACATTACTTGTTGGCATGACAAGAATGTTGTGAAGTAGGGAGAGAAGGTAAAACACTTTTTTTTTTTTTTTTTTGAGACGGGGTTTCGCTCTTGTTACCCAGGCTGGAGTGCAATGGCGCGATCTCGGCTCATCGCAACCTCCGCCTCCCGGGTTCAGGCAATTCTCCTGCCTCAGCTTCCCGAGTAGCCGGGACTACAGGCACGCGCCACCATGCCCAGCTAATTTTTTGTATTTTTTAGTAGAGACGGGGTTTCACCATGTTGACCAGGATGGTCTCGATCTCTTGACCTCGTGATCCACCCGCCTCGGCCTCCCACAGTGCTGGGATTACAGGCTTGAGCCACCGCGCCCGGCCTGGTAAAACACTTTTTAAAAGATGGGAAATTAAACAAAGAACATTTAAATGATGGCCAAAATCAGTCACACTCCCATGTGACCGTGCTGGAACGAGAGCCGGCCACCATGCTCAGGGCTCAACCCACTACCCCAGTGACACAGCTGACACAATGGCCCACCTCATATACTTCATTCCACTTTGGACTGAGGTTCTCTTTGATGACTTTGCTTTGGAAGATTTGGTTGCCAACTCTAATGATTCCATAGGGGTCCGACTTTCCCTTGACAAGTCCCTTAAGGTAAGTGTCTTTCCCCTGAAGATCCTGAGCTTCAATAAAATGTATCCTTAGAACACCCTGAAAAGAAGAACAAACTAAAGTTTAGACCCTTGGCTGGCTCGTTTAACTGGCGTGGAAGATAGCTACATGCCTGATCCTGTCTTGAGAACGGGGGGTGCAGAGGGAATAAAGACCCTCTTTTGCAGCTGGGTACATCCCAGCAGCGGCAAAAAGCAGTAAACGTGTACAGGAGGTAGCAAATGCTAAGAAAACAAGAGCAGGGCAAGGCAGGAATGCCTGGGCTGGGCTGGCTCAGACGATGGGCTTCTGAAGGGATGGCCCCTCCAAAGAGACACGAGGACGGGCGGCCTATGCAGCCCTGGAGAGTGCTTCTGGCAGAGGGACACAGAGTGCAGAGGACCCAGCACAGCACCATGCTTATCTCACGGGGCCTGGTGACACAGGCCACCAAGCTCTACTAGATCCTGGTGCTACAGTGAGTAATAACATGAGACGTTGCATCAGACCTGTTACTAAGCACTAGACATGCAGTAATTATGCCGTTCCATTTTTAGAATGATCCTATGAAATACTGTCATTACACTTATTTTAGAGAGGAAAAAACTAAAACTTTGAAATATGTATTATTCATAAACTCTAAACATAGTCCTGGCTAGGCACAATGGCTCATGCCTGTAATCCCAGCACTTTGGGAGGCAGAGGTAGGCAGATCACTTGAGGCCAGGAGTTCAAGACCAGCCTGGCCAACATGGCAAAACCCCATCTCTACTAAAAATACAAAAAATTAGCCGGGTATGGTGGCACATGCCTACAGTCCCAGCTACTCGGGAGGCTGAAGTGAGAGAATGACTTGAACCCAGGAAGCAGAGCTTTCAGTGAGCTGAGATCCTGCCACTGGACTCCAGCCTGGGTGACAGTGAGATCCTGTCTCAAAACAAACAAACAAATATAGTCCTTTCCCTAAAATATTGTTTTATTGATAAAAGAAAAAAAAATTCACACATTTCTTCCAAAGCAAACAAAGATACTCGAGTCACCCTTTGGCAGGAAGCATTCTGCCCCCACACATCCTTTTTTAAAATTACGTAGTGATATTCCTGACTCAATCAGCACAGGAATACATGTCCCTCCATAGATGAACACACTTCAAAAACTTGAAGCAGCTCTTGCTTACATTTTCGTATGTCTAAAGCTGAGATAATCTGGCCACATCTCTTGATGGCACTGGCTGTTAGGCCCATGTAGCTAAAGGCAGCCAGATCCAGGCATGCTCAGGTGCTCACCTGTACTCAGAGCCTAAGAGGAGCACAAGAATGTCCACATGTAAAGGGATTCCTGCATTTCCAGAGGCAAGGGTCAGAAATTAGGGAAAAAGACATTCTTTTCTAATGTACAGTGTCACATTAAATCTGTTGAATGCCAACAATATAACCAGTTTAAGCACCAAATTAACTGGCGTATTGTTACTCTTAAAAAATGTGAGGATGCCTATGCATGTTTGTTAATTTTCGTGTCATTACTTAGATCTAATTAAACCAGAAAAAGTAAAAAGGCATCAGGAGAAGGTGATCTACTTCTACTTCAGAAAACAAAAATAAAAACAATATACCCACTGAAACGGGACCAACTCACCACATCCCGTTTTAGTAAAAATCAATAGTGTGGTGTGCACTGCTTACTACAGACACCATCACAGCAGTATTGCTCACCTGGCTTCTGGAATCCAAAGTCCACACAGACAAAACAGACATGGAATCCACCACCTGAGCTGCTGACAAGCTCTTCTTAGCCTGTGAGAGATCCTTCACTCCACCCATCCCTTCCAAAACAGACATGGAATCAAACACCTGAGCCGTTGACAAGCGCTTCTTAGCCTGTGAGAGATCCTTCACTCCACTCACCCCTCCCATAATCAGAAGGAATTTCATGTTCTTGACTACTACTTTGAAGTTATTTAGTTTGCTCAAATGAAGGTGACTTCAATATCTGCAACTCAGTGCTGTGTGCTGGGTACCATCCCATTTTACAGATGATGAAACTATGGCCCAGACATGCCAAACAATGTGTCCATAAAAACAAAGCTACAGCTAAACTCAAGAGCTGCAACAAAAATCTAGGTTTGTTCTTTCCATTTTATCCAGGTCAGCTGTTATATAAGTGCTTCTTCTACCAGGTTACTCATTAAATGGCTTCAGAGGCAATGGAATTCTAACATCTGAGAGAAAATATACAAATTATTACATGAAGCCTCATCATGACTGTCAGGAAAACTGGTGCTTGTTGCTGAGGGCTGTCCATTCTAATAAAAACAAATGCTGTATTTGCCTTCTGAGGTAACTAAGATGTCTGTGCTGTGTATCTCTGCATATTTAAACCCCTATTGGTGCCTCTGAAGAACACAGCTACGGGGTGAGAACCATCCTGTTGTCTCCATGACAAGCTTCAGGGTCTGCGTATATCAGTCAAGTCTCTTAAGGAGAGTGATGGACAAGCAGTCAATGCATCAAGACCCAGGTGCTAGCTGGCTGCTGGGAAGAGACAAAGAGTCACAACACCCAACGCCACACCCACAGGCATGCAGGCCTCCAAAATGTATTTTTTTTTTTTCTTTTTTAAAGGCCAGTCAAGTGAAGCAGTGGGAGCGGAGAAGGAACAAAGAAATCTGTAACTGGTTGTGATCAATTAGTTGTAAACACCACTGCACTCGGACCAGCCTCCAAGATGTTTTTAAATGTGAACAGATGCCAGGACACGCTTACCTTTGGTACAGGAAACCGCAACTGAGCTATCTGAACTTCACTGACAAGTGGAACGGTGATTCGATTGGGAAGCACCAGATAATTTGATATTATATCCGAAATGATAGTATCTGATAAACCACTGTTAGTTGGGAGACAAAAAGAACACACGGACTGTCAGACATGTGAACACTTCCCTCACCTTTGGCAACATTTATCACAAATATGATATAACGTCCCGTTTATTTACAGAGTAGGAGTTATCTAATTTCTCCTGTGCAATACTTAAAACCAGCATTCCAACACTTTAGCTGTGATGCTACTATGATGATTATTGATACAGAACTTATTCAGAGAACATAAGGTAAAATTCTAGTTATTGCACAAGTAATTGAATTTCCTAAACAACATTTCATATATTCCTACTTCATCATAGAATTTATACATAATCACTAAAATACAACTCATTAATTTAACAAACTATTTCAAACATACATATAAGTACAGAGAATAATATAACATTCACTGGCCCCGTCCATGTTCATATGCACACATTCCATTTCTCTGCTGTTGTACGCTAGCCCCCACTGAAGAGAACTTAGTTTGCTTTCTCTTTACCCATTATCCAACACTTTTGAGTACTGAACACATTAATAATTTTGATACTATACATCGCTGCACAGCAAAATCAGTAAGGTAAATAAAATTGAGTAGGCTAAAGGAAAAAATGTACTTTTTCTTTTTTGAGATGGAATCTTGCTCTGTCATCCAGGCTAGAGTACAACAGCACAATCTCGGCTCACTACAATCTCCACTGGGGTTTAAGCAATTCTCCTGCCTCAGCCTCTCAAGTGGCTGGGATTACAGGTGCCCGCCACCATGCCCAGCTAATTTAGTATTTTAAGTAGAGATGGGGTTCACCATGTTGGTCAGGCTGGTCTCAGGTGACCTCAGGTGATCCACCTGCCTTGGTCTCCCAAAGTGCCAGGATTACAGGCATGAGCTACCACACCTGGTCAAGATATACTTTTAATAGATCTTTTTTGGCCGGCCATGCTGCCTCACGCCTGTAATCCAAACACTCTGGGGAGGTTAAGGTGGGAAGATCACTTGAGCCCACGAGTGGGAGACTAGCCTGGGCAACATAGCGAGACCCCTCCCATCTCTATTTAAACAAGCATATATATATATATATATATATATATATATATATCCTATTCTTTAGCATAAATGTGAGAATTAAATAATGTGTATATGATAGCACTTTTAAAAGCATTTATAAATGTTAAGTTTCATTGCTGTATAACACCTTTACCTGAACTGTGAAGTTGCAAAAGAGCTTTACTTCTCTCCAGTAATGTTTTAGATGCTAAAATTATTAACATACATAAGTAATTATACACAAAAATACCCACCGAGACAGTGATAATCATCAACAGTCAACAAACAATGTCTGAGTACCCACTGCAAGAAAGTGTCCACATGTGATGACCCAGCACTTCAAGGACTTTTCAGATTAATATGGGAAAAAAACTTTTAAAACCCCCAAAAAGAAAAACCATATATAATACTACTTATGAACAGGTCTGTTATTCAGACAGTTAATATCTTCAGAGATTCGGAGGGCTTCAGCCAGCAGACACTGGTTGTGAGTTCACTACACAGGGCAGGGCCCATCCACATTCCTCCTGCACAGACTCCCGGCCTCAGAGACCACAGCTGCTCTGACAGACTTCCCTGGTGGGGCTCCCATCTCTGCACCTCCTCACCCCAGTACACCTGCAAGCCCCCAAACTGTCGGGTGTGATGCAGCTCCCCTAGGCCTCCAGAGAAGTGTCACCTGCAGTGATTACTTTCTTGGGAATCACTATTTCCCCATGTGTCCTTCGGAACCACGACTGCTCATCACCCTTATTTTGTTTCCACCATAATCTCTGCCCTTCTTATACCTTCGACACTCAGCTTAGGGCCACTTATCAAAACATGACAGGGATATTTAATAGTTATCGTGTAGTGAAGGAATTCAGGCATTATTCTTAGTCTATAATGTCTGGGGTTTCTTTTTGTAATCAATTAATATAGCATGTGGATGCTCATTTTATAAAGCTTGGGACAAGACTTCATTATGTTAAGTTCATAGTTATTTATCATTATTATTTTTTTTGAGATGGAGTCTCACTCTGTTGCCCTGGCTGGAAGGCAGTGGCGTAATCTTGGTTTACTGCAACTTCCACCTGCCAGGTTCTAAGCAATTCTCCTGTCTCAGCCTTCCAAATAGCTGGGATTACAGGCATGTGCCCAAGCCCGGCTAATTTTTGTATTTTTAGTAAAGATGGGATTTCACCACATTGGCCAGGCTGGTCTTGAACTCCTGATCTCAGGTTATCCACCCGTCTCGGCTTTCCAAAGTGCTGGGATTACAGGCGTGAGCCACTGCACCTGGCCTCATAGTTATTTAATATTCACTTTTATAACCTAAGGGTTGTTACAGCTGTGATTTATTTGATAGAAAGACTGAGAACTAGTAGCTCCAATTTTACAAACATATCTATTAAATTTTAGTACATAACATTTATGTAAACATAGTTGTATTATATAAAATCTATATAATTATGTATAAATTATATATACCTATTCATATAAACATTAATATTTTTACAGCTCCCTTTTATACAACAGCCTATTTTTTGAATAATGTATGTATTTATGTTAGGTAAGTATTTTTAATGACATAATTCTGTATATACATATAGACGGGTGCAGCGGTACACATCTATAGTCTAGCTACTTGGGAGGCTGAGGCAGGAAGAACCCTTGAGCCTAGGGAGTTGAAGCCAGCCTGAGCAACATAGTGAGATCTCTAAATAAATAAATAAATAATAAAAATACAATAGCCAGAAACGACTACTGTATAAAAAGAGCCTACATATAAATTATTAACTAGAATGGAGACATATATGTATGTATGTGCATGTCTATATTTACATGGGTGTGTGTGAATGCCTTTTTTTTTTTTTTTTTTTGAGACGGAGTTTCGCTCGTTACCCAGGCTGGAGTGCAATGGCGCGATCTCGGCTCACCGCAACCTCCGCCTCCTGGGATCAGGCAATTCTCCTGCCTCAGCCTCCTGAGTAGCTGGGACTACAGGCACGCGCCACCATGCCCAGCTAATTTTTTGTATTTTTAGTAGAGACGGGGTTTCACCATGTTGACCAGGATGGTCTTGATCTCTTGACCTCGTGATCCACCCGCCTCGGCCTCCCAAAGTGCTGGGATTACAGGCTTGAGCCACCGCGCCCGGCCTGTGAATGCCTTTTAAATAAAATGAGTCAGGGATCAACTTCCCCAAATGGTGGGCTTGCCGGGGCAGAACACAATCTTTGACTTTGCCCTTTCAGATTACCAATATTAACATGATGATATTTACAGAGTAGATGCTCAATAAAGCTGTCTTATTTCACTCCTCCTATGATACTGAAGGAAGGCAAAATCAAATACTTTTTTCTATGCTTACCTGTGTGGATGTTTGTTCTGTTTGGCTACACAGTATTTATTCCCCTATTTCTAGTGAAAATTTTTGCTTTGGGGGATACTCTCTTTCACTGGATTTTTTTTCAAGCAAGTAATCCATTTCTTTGCCTTCGGTGTGCATGAGATTTGAACCTGATCATCGGAGGAACCTGTCCAAGGGTGGTAGACACAGACAAGCCAGCCCATGACCTGGTGGGAAAGGCAGCTAAGTCCGCAGACTAAAGGCTTGTAGCTGCAGGCACAGCAAAAGCCTGCCTGAAAACAAGTCCATGAGGAACACGCCCACCCTGCGTGGGTCAGGAGCTGGGGAGAGAGAGCCCTTCCAGTGAGAGCCCCAACACTGGCTCCACCTGAAACCCATCAGAAAACATGCCAGCTTATCAGATGCTGAGCCAGGAAACAAGCACAGCTGTGTCCCATGCTCGAAGAGCTGTGGCTGGCTCAGGGCAGGCACTGGTAAACTGCCTTTTAAAAATATTATTTACCGGCCAGGTGCAGTGGCTCAGGCCTGTAATCCCAGCACTTTGGGAGGCCGAGGCAAGTAGTTCACCTGAGATCAAGGAGTTCAGCCTGGCCAACATGGCGAAACCCCGTTACTCCTAAAAAAAATACAAAAATTAGCCGGGCATGGTGGCAGGCGCCTGTAATCCCAGCTATTTGGGAGGCTGATGCAGGCAGAATTGCTTGATCCTGGAAGGCGGAGCTTGTAGTGAGCCGAGATCAAGCCACTGCATTCCAGCATGGGCAACAGAGCAAGATTTCATCTCAAAAAAAAAAAAAAAAAAAAAAAAAATTTTACTTATTTACCTATGTAAGACCATCTGAGTCAGGTTTGTTGCTTGCAACCAGCATCTTAATGAACTCTAACCAATCTTTTAAAGTTGTGCTTTCTTTCCACAGATCTTTCAAAGATCACAGCATTTTTCTATATCCAGTAAACCACAGCACCTAAAAAGGACTATTATTATGACTGTATTTCAGATAAGTAAGGTCCTAATTTTTCCCTAATAATGAAACAAAACTCTTTAGAAAGCCCAATTCAGACGCATAAACAAATATACAGGAATAAAAAAACAATAGTCTGAAATTTTCTAAACTATTTTAGGAAAAACAAATCACACTAGAAAATAACCACTAGAAACATACAACTGTAACCCACAGATGATGCATTTTAACTTTGAAATAAAACGGTAAGCCAGCAAAAGCACTCAGAGGCTGTAATTTTGAAACTTCCTATTTGGTGGGGACCCACAGGTCTGCCACCCACAGCCCCATGCTCTGTTTCAGGTAACAGGACTATGGCAACTAGAATGACTCCTTGTCTCTGAGCAGGGATGAACCCTCCAGGGCCTCAGATGCTTGTTACAGAACATTTTCCTCCTGTTTTAGACACGAGATTGCTATGGAATAATGAAGGGACTCCCAGTGAAATGATACGAAACTTCGAGTTCCTTACTTTTCACACTCAATAATCCTGGAGAAGTCCATACTGACCCCAACCCCTTTCAATTAGTAATGGAATAAAGGTTAAAAAAAAAAAAAAAAAGCAGAAACGGTGGGGTAGCTGCAGGCTGGAGAGACGCTGAAAAGCATTTGCTTTTAAAGTATCCTTTATTGTTTCTGAGAAGATATTAAAAACCACATTTGCAAACTGGTTTACAAAATATTAAAAGTTCTCTACTTTTCTAAAATGCCAAGGGCAGGAAGACGCCCTGTAGTAAACAAAAGCAAATGAAGGGCGAGTGCTCAGTCTGGCACTCAGAGCCCTCCCGCCCTGGCTTGCTGCCTCCAAGCAGCTCCCTGTGGGCAGAACAAAGCCCCTGTACCCTCTGCTCGTTTCTCACGACAGCCTGTGGAGAAGGCACCCATTCACCTGGCAGACGCAGGTCTTAACATTCTCATGCTGCTGTCAAGACACAGAAAATGCACAAGATGCCCTCGACAGGCTAAGCCTCGGCGACCGGACATTGAGACTTACTTCAATCCAGGGATATCCAGGAGATTCGTCAGTCCTGTCCAGTTAATTTCTAAAAGCTGTTTTAAAACAAGGGCAAAATATTAAGTTCCAAACAATTTCCAATGATCAAATCTGGTGCACACAGGCTTGTTTCTTTATAAACAAAATGGGTCAGTATACAACACAGACGTATACCCTTCATCCTTTGTAACATACCAAGGACATCTTTCTTTGGTGGTACATGGAGAACTGCCTCTTTTTGTTTTTTGATAAAGTCACAGTTTTCTCTAGGAAAATCATAAAATAATTTATTTACTCATTCTCCTATGGAAGGACACTTAGAATTTTGACAATTTCTCTTTACTGTAATTACAAATAACAATTCAGGGCCTGTCTTTTTACATACATGTTCTTGTATACATATGCAGACTAGCATTCAAAAAGTAAGATTTTGGGCTCAAAGACTTATGCTCATTTTTAATGTTGATAGTACCTACCTGCCCTCCAAAAATACTGTACCCATTTATATTCCCACCAAGTGTATAAAACTGTCCTTTTCACATTCCTCACCAAAAACAATACGAAAACCCTACCAATCTGGAGGTTAAATAATGGAACTTTATCATTGTTTTACTTTGTATTTTCCAATTATCAGACCATGCTCTACCCATTCATTTGACATCTGTGTTTATCTTAGAATAATTCCCATACAGTTAGCTAAGATTCCATTAAGTAGATGTGGATTAGTAAAAATTATTGATTAGAAATACTGCTTTTCCTACCAAAACAGCAACAGCACGTAACAGAATTACTTGTGTTCTATATTTGTAGAAGAAATTCTAAGTAAAATTGCCAGATCTCAATTCCCCATATAGTTGAGTAACAAAACTGCTCAAATCCCTTTAGGAAGTGGTGGTTTTAAGTAAATACAAAGCGGAAGAGTCAAGATTCTTATGGATAGACCAAAACTAAAAAGAACTGGGAAAAAAAAAAAAGGCAACAATTTTTAAGATGCTGAAAGACCAAGATTTCTCAGTGTAACAGAAATGAAATATAAATATAAAAATCAGGAAGGAAAAAATAGGCAACTAATCTTCAAACTGGACTGCAAACATCAGTATCAACCCATGCTTTACTTCCCCCTGAAAATAAATGTTTTTCCCTAGTCCACCAACTGAACCACCTGCCTAAACCTCTGCATTCTAAATCATATGAACACATTTATAAACGCTTATTTCAGAGCTTATTTTCCTTTCTCTTTTCTCTTACAGAACTTAAAAAGGAACAGGTACTCCCTGCCACAACAAAACATTCTGGTCATACAAAAATACCTGTTATGAGGAAACTAAGATTTAAAAGGGCATTATAACAGGATTCTATCGTTTAGTTCTGAAGGCTATTACTCCTGATCACAAATCTACTTCAGGAAATAAGAACATATCAAAGATATAGCACAGAATCTTGCAATCGACTCAGGTTAAAATGCAAGCACCTCACACAGCGAACCATCAGAGGATACCCAATGGTGACTGCTCCATCTGCAGAGCCATGAGACACAAGAGCCACATGAACTTCAGGAAAGAACGGCTGTGACAAGGAAAGCGGCAGGTAAGCTTCTAAATAAAATTAGATGAGGCCATTGTAGTTAAAAGAACAGTGGAGAGAATACAATTCAAAGATGCTATTTAATAAAGAAAGAATTTTTCGGCCCTGCGCAACTCACGCCTGTAATCCCAGCTCTTTGGAAGGCCAAGGCAGGCAGATCATGAGGTCAGGAGATCGAGACCATCCTGGCCAACATGGTGAAACCCTGACTCTACTAAAAAAAAAAACACATGAACATTAGCTGGGCGTGTTGGTGTGTGCATGCAATCCCACTCAGGAGGCTGGGGCAGCAGAACCACTTGAACCAGGGAGTCGGAGGTTACACTCCAGCCTGGCAACAGAGTGAGACTCCATCTCAAAAAAAAAGAGCTTTTCCTATACAGGCATGCCTCAGAGATATTGCAGGCTGGGTTCTAGAGCAGTGCAGTAAAGGGAATATTGCAATATGTGAATCACACACATTTTTTGGTTTCCCAATGCATATAAAGTTATGTTTATACTATAAGTGCAAAACAGCATTATATCTTTTAAAAAATGTACATACCTTTATTTTAAAACACTTTATTGCTGAAAAATGCTAACAATCACCTAAGCCTTCAGTGAGTGATAATCTGGCTGGTAGAGGGTTTTGTCTCAGTGTTTGATGGTTGCTGACTGACCAGGGTCGTGGTTGCTGAAGGTTAGGGTGATTGTGACAATGTCTTAAAATAAGACAACAGTGAAGTTTGCTGTATCGATAGACTCTTCCTTTCAAAAAAGATTTATCTGTAGCATGCCATGCTGTTTGATAGCATTTTACCCACAGCAGAACTTATTTCAAAATTGGAGTCACACTCTCAAACCCTGTCCTGCTTTATCAACTAAACTTATGTTATATTCTAAATTGCTTATTGTCATTTCAACAATGTTTGTAGCGTCTTCACCAGGAGTGGATTCCATCTCAGGAAACCACTTTCTTTGTTGGTCATAAGAAGCAACTTCTTGTCCTGAAAGTTTGATCCTGAGACAGCAGCAATTCAGTCCCATCTTCAGGCTCCACTTCTAACTAATCTCACTACTTCCACTCCACCTGCAGTTCCTTCTTCCACAGAAGTCTTGAACCCCTCAAAGTCATCCATGAGAGTTGGCATCAGCTTCTTTCAAACTCCTATTAACGTTCATATTTTGTACCCTTCCCAAGAAACACAAGTGTTCTCAATGCCATCTAGGGTGGTGAATCCTTTCCAGGAGGTTTTTGACTTATTTTGCCCAAATCCATCAAAGGAATCACTGTCTGTGGGAGCTATCATCTTACAAAATGTTATTTCTTAAATAGTAAGACTTGAAAGTTGAAATTTCTCCTTGATCCCTGGGCTGCAGAATGGATGAAGTGACAGCAGGCATAAAAACAACATTCATCTTGTACATCTGCATCAGAGCTCTTGGGTGACCAGATGCACTGTCGATGAGCAGCTATATTTGAAGGGACAATTTTTTTCTGAGCAGTAGGTCTCAATGGTGGGCTTAAAACATTCGGTAAACCAGGCTGTAAACAGATATGCTGCCATCCAGGCTTTGTTTTTCCAGGTATAGAGCACAGGCTGTATAGATTTAGCATGATTCTCAAAGGCCCCAGGGTTCTCAGAATGAGAAATGAGTGCTTACTTCAAGTCATCATCTGCATTAGCTGTGACAAGATAGCTTGTCTTTTGAAGCCTTGAAGTCAGGCACTGACTTCTCTCTAGCTGGAAAAGTTCTAGATGGTATCTTCTTCTAACAGAAGGATGTTTAATATACATTGAAAATTTGTTGTTTAGTGGAGCCACCTTGATCAAGGATCTTAGCTAATCTTCTGGATAACTTGCTACTTTACCTTGCACTTTTATGTTATAGAGATGGCGTTTTTCCTTGAACCTCATAAACCAACATCTTCAAACTTTTCTTCTGCAACTTCCTCACCTCTGTCAGTCTTCACAGAACTGAAGACAGTTAGGATTTTGCTGTGGAATAGGCTCTGGCTTAAGGAAATATAAGGTCTGGGCTGATCATCTATCCAAGCACTAAAACTTCTTTCCTATCAGCAAGAAGGCTGCTTCTATATCATTGGTGTGTTCACTGGAGCAGCACTTTTATTTTCCTTCAAGAACTTTTCCTTTGCATGTACAATTTGGCTGTTTGGCACAAGAGGCTTAGCTTTCAGCCTACACTGGCTTTAAACATGGCTTCCTCACTAAGCTTAATCATTTCCAGCTTTGCTTTTTTTTTGGAGTCTCACTCTGTCGCCCAGACTGGAGTGCAATGCTGTGATCTTGGCTCACTGCAACCTCCGCCTCCCAGGTTCAAGTGATTTTCCTGCCTCAACCTCCCGAGTAGCTGGGACTTCAGGTGTGCACTACCATGCCTAGCTAATTATTGTATTTTTTTTTTTTTTAGTAGATGGCCTTTCCACTATGTTGGCCAGGCTGGTCTCAAACTGACCTCAGGTGATCCGCCCCCACTTGGCCTCCAAAAGTGCTGGGATTACAGGCATGAGCCACCACGCTTGGCTGATTTCTAGCTTCTGACTGAAAGTGAGAGGCATGCAACTCTTTCTTTCACTTGAATACTTAAAGGCCACTGCAGGGTTGTTGACTGGCCTAATTTCAGTACTGTTATGTCTGAGGGAATAGGGAAATCCAGAAGAGGAAGAGATAGAAGAACAGTCAGTGGGTCAGAAGACACAACATTTATCAATTAACTTGGCCATTTTATATGGTTTGCCTCTGTGTCCCCACCCAAATCTCAAGTGGAACTGTAATCTCCACATGTCAAGGAAGGGACTTGGGAGGAGGTGATTGGCATGGGGGCGGCTTCTCCCATACTATTCTCATGATAGTGAGGGAGTTCTCATACGTTCTGATGGTTTTAAAAGTGGCTGTTTCTCCTGGGCATTCTCTCTCTCCTGGCACTATGTAAGACGTGCCTCACTTCCCCTTCACCTTCTGCCATGACTATAAGTTTCCTGAGGCCTCCCCAGCCATGCAGAACCTTGAGTCAATTGACCCTCCTTTCTTATAAATTACCCAGTCTCAGGTAGTATCTTTATAGCAGTATGAGAATGGACTAATCTGCCATCTTATACAGACATGGCTTGTGATGCCCCAAAACAATTACATTAGGAACACCAAAGATCACTGACCACAGATCACAGTCACAGATATAGTAATAAAGAAAAAGTGTGAAATACTGTGAGAATTGCCAAAACATGACACAGAAGCATGAAGTGAGCACATGCTGTTCACCTCACAGCATGGACAGGCTTGCTTATCAGAGGGCTGCCATAAATCTTCAACTAGTAAAAACACAGTATCTATAAAGTACAATAAAGCAAAACACAATAAAGTGAGCTGTGCCTATGAACACTTTCATCTTAAATGTCGAATCCGTAGTACATACGTCAGTGTCGTGACTTAAAGAAAACCACCTAATATAGTCTTAATAGCATTAAGACAGA